TCGCAACAGCTGGGACTTTCATACGGCGTATTATGGCATCCTCGGAACTGAAGCCAGCTGTCCATTCGCAATACCAAACAAACGTCGATTGGGTGTTTAAATGACAAGAAGAGTCAACAGCGATTATTTGACCAACATTTTTTTCAGCGACAAGGAATCTTTCTCAGTCAGGCGGACGTGAATAAGCAAAATTGTCGCATCTCGTGCCGCGAGAGTCCTCAGATAATTTAAGCGAGACCATTACACAAAAACAAAAAAAAAAAATTTACTGTCTACTGCGCTTTTGGTTCGACGGTTGATTGTACCTTAGAACTCTGAAAACTTCCACGGCGGGGCAGTCATTTGCAATTCGGCGCCTTGTGGTTGTACGATATTTTTCTTTACATTTCTGTTTCTTTGGACTGCAATGAAAGACCACGACTTGTACAATATGTGGTTACAACAAAAAAAAAAGTTGTTTACTTTTTCTTTATTACGAGTTAGAGGAATCATCCTAACTCCTTCACTTTAAAATCTCGCAGGCTTGGAAAGTCGGATTGCATACACTTTTTGTTTCATCCGCAGTTTTTTTTTTATTGTTTCAAGAGTTTACGATTGGTATAAGCGTTTCCAAGAAGCACGTGAAAACGTTGAAGACGACCAATGCCCTGAACTTTCCAGAACATGAACAACCAATTACATCACTGAAAAGGTGAAAAAATGGTCATGAAGGATTGCCGAACCGCAATTAGAGAAGTCGATGATGATGCTGGCATATCAGTTGGATCATATGACATTTTTTCCATTGTTTCGGTGATAAAAGGCTTTAGAAGCGAACTCCGACGTTGCCATTGTTTTTGTATTCAATGATTTTGTTACTGTTGTTATACCACAAGTGACAACTCAAATATGCAAACAACAGCAAGGAAGCATGGCACTTTTCGCTATTTCTTAGCCAAAGCGATAACAAAAATTTGATAATGAATCTCGAAGTCAGTGAACGATATAGCCGGACGATGGTTCATCTCATTTGTGCGCTTACACACCTACGCCATACATAAATCTGTATGCATAAGGATGACTAGGAAGTCTTGGAAGTACCCACCTACGTAAATTGACATTATCGCCCTGCAATATATCCTAAATGGTTTCAGAAGCAATGTGAAGGGTGTTTTTTTGGGACAAGTGATGTTCAAGAAGAAATAAAACGCAAGTAATTTATTATTATGTCCATGAATTTAGCTTTGTAATTAAGTTAAGAGCTTGCCATGAAGTTTTAGAAATTATTTCGGGCAAATGACCGCCGGGGCTGATTCCAATAAATTGCAGCCGAGAGTCGTGTCAAGCTGTTATGTCATTTTTGTTGAGCTTTATTGGGTAAATCACTATTAAAAGACTTAAGCCTGAAAAGAGTCTACAAATCGTTTAAGTCCATTACGAAAATTCACCTTCTGCAGAGCATGTATTTCGCACTTATCGCTTAACTTATGGTCAACATAATCAGCCTGAGCGTACTGTTCTTGCAACCCCATCACCCATCTTGAGACCGCGTATTCGTTATTTGATAATATAATATTTGACACTATAGACCATGTCCAGCACGCAGTGAAGAAATTATTGCGGTTGCGACGTAGCGGTCGTGAGAGAGTTGAAAGCGTACAAATTACATCGCTTGCAAGAACCTTTCTGGGCGACATCGCTTCACTCTATGGGGTCTTGAAAAGTTCCAAGAACGTTCGAACGTTTTCACGCCAAATTTTAATCATCCATCAGGCCAGTTTCTGGCTCAATGGGTATGTAAACAAGCCAACTTGCCTCATTTGGGACGTAGAGCAATCTGAAGAGATTCAGGAGCTGCCAATTCATCCAGAAAAAACAAAGGTTTGGTATTTATTTATGATGTCGGTGAAAATGTAAGCGTCTATGGCGACCGTTATCGAACCATATTTTATGTCTGATATTAAAATTGAAGCTCGTGATCTCGGTGACATGTGGTTGCAACAAGACGGCGCCACTTTTCACATTTCGGATCAAGCAGTGGATAATACTACGGGGAGTAAATAATTTCACGTTTGGTCGAATGGCCACAAAGATTGTGTTATAGACACCGTTAGAATTTTTTCTATGGGATATGTAAAATCGCTCGATACAGACCTTAGAGCAAAACATCACGCGTGTTATTCGCTAGTTACAAAGCTCGAGCGAGTCATCGGAAATCGCACCCAACAGATGGACCATCTGTGATATAGCCGCAGCCAACGTTTGAAAAAGATTATCTTAAAAAAATAGATGTCAAAGTATTTTCTTTCACTATTAAATTAGAATTTTCTGTGTTTTTTTTTTTTTTTTAAAAAGGTCACCTCGAAATGGCTCACCCTTATATAAAAACTTTGTCTTGAGTGACTGACGGATCAACTTATAGCCCAAACCACTGTTCTGATACTTTGAGGATGTATTAAGAAAGGATTTTTCAAGAAGTGGATCTTGGACTCATCTTTTCGAAAAAATCAAGTTGATTTTCAAATCGTTTGATGTACATAAAAACAATAAATATTTTTGGTATAGAGATGACTCTTTGCCTTAATTAACTTATGGAACAGTTTTTCCGCCGTGAAGTGGGTCTGGAGCTGATTTGATGGCGCAGTTTTGCTTATCATGTGGAACATGCATGGCTCTTTGCCAAGGTCAAAATGTAGAGAATAGTTCGGCAAAATCTAGTAAATCATAGTCTGATGCGACTGGTGTCTGAAACATGGTTTGCTCTTTACGTATACTAATAGGTGTAAAATTTTTCTTCCTTCTACGTATATTTTAAGATACTAGTTGATAAGCTAGAATAAAGGAAACAACGTAAAACCTTATACAAATCTTACTAGAACCTTCTTAGAATTCCATGCGGTCGAATTTGTGGGTAAACTCTAGTAGATAATATTGGTGTAGTAAACATAAATCCATTTTTTTAGCATCAAATTGACAAATTATTTTCCTTTCGTATTCAGCCTCATTTAAATGGTTCCAAACGGTTTTTTGTGCAATCTTCAGCTCTTGAACGATCGAAACAGTGCTTAGATGTCAGTCGGACTCGACAATGCCCTGAATTATATCGACATTTTCGCCTATTGGCCTTCCATTCGGTGTAGCATACAAAGTGACAGCCTTTCAATAAAACCAAAAGTTGGCTAATGGTTCAAAAATTAAATGGAACGAAGAGTAAATATAAAATTTTGTGTCAAACTTGAAAAAAAAAATTAATGAAAAAAGTTTATTGTGATGATTGTATGAGTCGTACGCAAGTTTATACGTGGTTTACACGATTTAAAAATGGTCGTGAGGATTTAAATGACGACCCTAGAGTAGGACGTCCAGAAACTAATCGTGCGGAACTGGTGGAACAAGTCCGCGAAATCATTGGTATCCATGCAACTTTTACTACGAGCATGTTGGCTGAGGAATTGAATACGAGTAAAAACACTATTTGGAGAATTTCAACTGAAGATTTGTGGAAAAGAAAGGTCTGTGCGCGATTTGTTCCACATGAATTAAATGACGACCAAAAAATCGCTCGAATTTTTAATGAACAAAGGGATTTCTCTCATCGACAATCCGCCGTATTCGCCTGATCTATAACCATGTGACTATTTTTTCTATTTCCAAAACTGAAAACCAAGATGAAGGGAGCATTTTATGATGAGATCCCAGCCATTCAAGCAGCCGTAACCGAGGTACTGAAGAACATTTCTATAAATGACATAAAAAATCTATGCATGCGCTGGTTGATCCTTCCAAACGTGGTGTTGAGTCAAATGGAACCTATTTTGAATAAACAGTAACTTTCAAAGAGAATATACACGTAATGTGTATTTTATTTTATATCCAAAAAGTTCGGTTATTTTTGGAACACACCGAGTATTTTACAACAAAATTACGGGAATGAAACCGGAATCGTGCGGGATTGACTGTTGCAGTAACAGGATCATAAATGATTTTAACATTTTCAGCCACCTGGCTAGCGTTCTCGTCCTTATTGCAGAAAAACTTTACATATCAATATCTTGTATTTGCTTTTTGGTAGTGCTTTTTTAGTACGAAATGTCAACTTTCTAACACCATTTAATGGAACCCATTCGCAACGCGAGGTACAGATAAATAACGCCGTCTGTTGAAAAAATAATGGATTTCTTTTTACTACACATAATAATAAAATTATTTCGGGTATTGCCTGGCGCAGGATTCGAAGCGATGTTTATTCACATGTAAGTACTCACCCGCAAGCCCTTCGATTAAGGTGGTGTCTCCCTCTAAGCTTAATATTCCCAATTGCTTTTTGATGTGGCAAAGCGCATAAACCAACGAATAGTAAGAGAGCACACTTCTTGGCATTTTTCGATTTTTTCCAAGTTTTATTTGCTTCTTTCAAACGTAAAATTCGGTCAACAATCTCATTGTTTCGTCCACTTCACACACTTCAATCACTCTTTTATGATGCTCTTGTGAAGCGATTCCTATGAATGTGCTAATGCTATTGACTATTACTTACTAACACTATTATTAACACAACAACAATACATGGCCACAGTACACAGAAATCACACAGAGAGGGAAAAAAATTGCTGTAAACAATGAATTGGAATAATTACCGCTAAGTAAATGCCGTTAAAATGTTTTTTATACGCTAACACATTAAGTCAATAACACCTTCGCACCGCCATAAAACATGTTTTAAGAGCATTTAATACAACAATAACAACAACAGCAGCAGCATTAAAATAACACGGTATAACGCGACGATGGCAAGTGGGGTAACCGTGTGGCAGGTACACATACATACATATGTTATTTGTATATAAGTTCATATGTATTACGCCCGCCGAATTTGATTACATTTCGAACATTTCGAGCATTTCGAATAGCCAATCCTCAGCGCTATATACAATGCCTGGGTGAAAAGTCATAAAAATGTACTCTACGACGACGATGTGGCAACCGAGGTGGCGAGCAGTCACCGCTCAACAAGCAACGAGTTAACCAACCGCCACTGTTATAGCCATCGAAAATGAGAATCTGTCACGGCAGCCGTTGTGGCAGCAAAGGAATCCAAAGAGTTTTATTGCTTTTGCTGTTTCTGCAAAGCCTCAACGCCGCTCTGGCCACACTCGGACCACCGCAGGCGTTGCAAGAGAGGAAGGCGGCGGAGAAGGTGTTATCACGCAAACGGCGTTATGTAGCCTTTCCGGATGGTTCCTCTTTGTCGGTAAGAGTGCATAATCACAGCAAATAAAAAAAATTGTATTTTATCTATACACAGTATATATATATATATGAATGAACATACTAGAATATATGTACATATATACGCAAGTGAGACAAAGTGTTGAAAAAGCAGTAGCTAAGGTAATGAAAAGTCGACAAAGTGATAAAAAAAAAGGAATATTTCTCACACTCAAAACCGTGCACCACAAAAAAACAAAAAAAAAAAAAAATTAAAAAAATGAAGAAATGAAAAAAAAATGGCTTTGCTCTGACATATTTACAACACTTTTAATTGCTTTTCTCTCGCTTGCGATAATCTGATAATCGTTTTTGTTATTTTTTTTTTTCAGGCTTCCATTTGTTTGACCATCGGCGTTATTGGCAATCCCATTGTGGAATATCTCAGTTGGGCTGAAAATTGGGGTGTCGCTTATGACTTACCCAACTACGCTTGGGTTAAGGAGCATACGCGTGGTTTTAAGAAGGACAAGGATGAGAACAAGACAAAGGCGATGGCGATGCGACGTTCAAGACGTGATTTATTTGGTAAACTCGAGACACTTATTGAGAAGTGAGTATGGCAAAAAAGATGAAAATGAATTTTTATTGCGGTTACGGGATGTGTAAAAGAAGAGAAGAGACATAAATTGTATATATGAGAGACTAGTGAATATATATTGCTAACTGTATGGGTAATTGATGTGTAACGCGTTGAAGTCCTACCTCTGGGCAAGCAGTTAAAGTTGCAAGGCTCGTAGCACACCTTGGTGGTATCGTAAGACGGCCACTGCGAGAGTTGTGATAACCAACCTGTATGGCGATTTGTGCCGCGGTTTACAGAGTGGGAGTATTAGTGAAGCCACTTCGATATATACCGGTACCAGTTATAATGAAAAGAAAACAATGAACCCGCTGAGAGACCTCTTTTTTGATGATGACTACAGCTACGTTTTAAAGACCACAGTTTGAGGATATGACCAGAATGACTCCGTTTCTTATTTTGGAGGCTGCCGCTGCACCGCTGGTTAATGTCTTCTCAAGACTAAAGGATGGCCATACAAAAATTGCGATTGACTGAAAATTGTGACAAAGACGAAATCGAATAGATCTCTAAGTCATGCATTACACCGACCCAATAAGAGAGCCCAAATTTGGCGTTGAATTCGACGTGGTGGGAAGGAAAATCAGTCGCTGAATTCACCGGTTAGAACGTCTCACTATAATTCACATCAAAGCGAAGTTATGCAAAAACAAGGATATCACTATGAGCGCCTAGAATGACTCTATTCGCGTTCCCCCGCTACGATGTCAAAAAGAAAGTATCTTCGGCTCAACAGACAGTTTTCATAACAAAACACTCTTAAATGAGTTGAAGCTGATCGACTGCCCGGGGACCTGAATATGGTTTTATGTGGTATTAGATTACAGCGCAAGTAAATTCATGACTGATAGCAGTTCGAACAGGCTTTGATGGACATATATTTCCAGTATTTTAGTTGTAGAGTTTACTCCGCACATTGATTCGGTCCACAATTCTGTAGCTGCAAAAGAGACTCAGCCTCCTCTGTGCAGCAAAAAATGCTCGTCAAAAACACAAAACGGGTGCGACGCAAAACTGCAAATTTAACAGACTGCCTATGGGTTTTCTACTCTGCTCACACCTCCACTCTTTGAGAGCACTAAAAAGGAGAGAAAAAACTATCTCCATCGTCCACAACACGTGTTTCTCAGCGGAGCGGAAATATACTATACACGTAGATCCTACAATGTTGCGATCGAACGCAACGCCTTCTGTGTGGGAGAGAAAGCGAGAGTGAAAGAGCAAAACGAGACACCCTAACATCTAACTGAGGCCTCTAGATATAAATTTTTTTTAAGGATGTACAATTTTTTTTGGATTTTAGTGCCACTCAAGCCTACTTACACACATCTCTTTCAGCATGGGCTTTAATGGAAATGCTTGTATTGCGCGTGCGCTTTGTGAAAGCTCTAAATATTTACAAGATGCTCGTCAGGGTAGAGGAAATATGATGACGGAAATAATCAAAACCATTTTTAGGTTGGTGTATGCATACGCATATATATATATGTATATAACGAATTAACAATTACTAATTTATTTTTTATTAATTTTAGTCTGCCCACCGAGCCGGTGTTTGGGGAAGAACCGGATGTTATGCACCACTATGATCGCATCTATAAAAGAGCACGCCGTGATGTACTCGATTGTAGTGTTGAGCATGCGCAATGCCATTTTTCATTATTAGAAATGGCATTTGGCAAATATTCGATAGCACCAAAGCGGCAAAGTCCTCAGCTGTTAGCGAACATGCCGGAGGGACGAGGTTTCATGTAAAGTTTTCGTTTAAGCTTTATTCTGCTTAGTTATATATTTATTTTTTAATTATTTAATTTTTTATAAATTATTTTTTTTTTTTAATATACAATAGTAAGTAAAATAAATGTATGTTATATTGACAAAATCTTTCACGAAAACCGATTTTGTTCTCAAATCAGTCGTGAGTTTGAAGGTTAGCAAATATGTTTGTTGTTATATCCATTAGTTTTGGTAGATAACACATATTTATATGAAATGGGTTTATAGATCTTTCAAGTTTTATTGAATTCGGTTAGCTTATGGGGGCGTATTTACAACAAAAAACTTATAGAAAATTTATTTAAATAAATAATTAAATTAAATTTTCTAATTGCGGTCGCCTCTCGGCAGAGAATGTCAACTCCTCCGAGTATATTTCTGACATGAAATGAAGCTCCTCATAAAAAAACCATCAACCATTCGGAGGTGGCTTAGTATAAATTGCAGATCCCTCCATTTTTTGGGAAAGCATCAAGACGCAAAACCAAAAATTGGAGGAGGAGCTCGGGCAAAAATCGCTTAAACGGTTATAAGGACCCAATTATATTATATATATTAAAATAAATATATATATATATTTATATGTCAAAATATACATTAGCGCCGTCGTCAAAGGATAAAATAAATTTCATCGAAATTGTCTAAACAATATAAAAACTGTCGTTACCTAACAAGAAACCCCCTATAAATACTTACTAACAAGTAGACTCCATGAAGCTTCATGTTTTACAAATTTACATAAATATTACTTAAATCGTACGACAAATCGTAAGTATGAAAACAGTTCGTTAATCGTGCAACAATCGTTTGTCGTATTATGCTTCGTGGATCCGGTTGGCCGAAGTAATTTATACATGTGTTTCGTACTTCCCTACCAAAGTAGTATTAGTAGCAGTAAGTACTCATACACCGCTAACAAGAGCGCACTACTAACTATTATTAGTTACTTAAATACGAAGTCCTCTACTAACCGCCCACTACTAACATCTAGCAGCACATAACCCGCGTCAGTAGCTACAAAATCAGCAAATTGCGACTAGCATTGTATGGCATCCAAAGCTGGGAAACTTTGACCCATGAGCACCTGATTGGTTTCGTTCCTACTTTCAGTTGTCACTCGTTGCTTTATTCTCTTTTTAGGCGTAGAGTTGCATGAATGATTTCAACCAGCGGTAAAAAAAACCTACAAAGAAGGAAGCAAAATAAAAAAAAGGAATTAGTTTACTTTATAGTCTCTACAATGACTTATTGCGAGTTTTTCCTGCTCACGGTTGCTTAGGTAGGCAGCAGCAGTAGCAACGCGAGTAACCTTGCAGCTGTGAGACAGAGTCGGCTATCCGAAACTTTCCCAATTTTATTTCTCCCTCTATTCACTATTACTCTTGCATTGTCGTCTAACCCATACTTTCAAATTCCTCGTTCCACGTTCTCTATTCTTTATTAGTCTTGAAGCTTCCAGACAGAAGCGACCTATCTCTCTTTCTATGTTCCTATCGCCTCCTCTATTATCTAGTAGCCTTAGAGCTTCATGGCTGGGTAAAGCGCTGGAGATGCTGCCTAATTACAGATTCAGTAGATTCTTCTATTCACTGTTTGACGTTTTAGTTCGTAGAGGGGGATTATTTTTCTTTATTGCGTACTCAGTGCAAAGCAATTTTAATAGATGATACAAATTCTGTGTTTGATTTTAGGTTTCTTTTTTAACCTTTACTAAACAACCTTCATCAGCATCGAGCTGCCCATCGAAGTTCTTCAAAATTTTGACGCAGCGTTTGTTTGGCATGAGTTTACACAACCGTTTTGTTACATTGAGGAAGCATATTCAACGGTAAGTTGCTCATAACCTGCAAAGTGGCTGATGCATACATGCACCTTTACAGTTTATCGTCATTATTTTTGAACAGGCGATAGACCTTCGGCTATCGCGGCTTTGTCGTTCTTTGGATGTACAGTTTCTGCATGGACTTCATAGCAATCTGCAGCTGGAGTATGTATTCAATCGTCATTGGTTAAGGTTTCGTGTTCGTCAACGCCGCTTATTTAATTTTCCATGCCAATCAGCAGGTCAGTGAAGTCTTTCTTTTATGAACTCAACGTTAAATATGAAAAGATCTCTTTTTTGGTTGCAACATGCGCATGTTCTGGTCTTGAAATCGTCTTTTAAGTCGTTACTTTTTCTCACAGAAATCTGGAGCTTTGCTTTCTCTCCTTTGCTGTTTAAAAATACGTTAATCGTTCATCTTTAACTCTTCGTATTTCTCCCTTTACGGTCCTCGTACTAGCTTTTGTCGAAAAACAATTTTATTTTTTCGGGTTTCAAACGAGCTTCAACTCCGTTTTGTGGTATGGGTTTCAATTTCTAACCAATATTTTCGCAGCTCAAAAAATGGGTTTTAATCGTGGGTTTTCCAATAAAAGGTGTTATTTTGAGTAATCTACTATTCCGGTAGATGTCACGTTAAAACTACGCCAATAAAAAAAATGGAGCGATGTACGCTTCAACAAGGCATTGAAATTTTTAAAAATCACTACAAAAATTGTATCGAAAAATCATTTTGATTGATGAAGCCCATTTCCAACTTAAAGACTATATCAAATTTCAAAATTGTTACACTTGGGCTTCGGTAAATCCGTTCCATTATTATCGATGGTCCGACGGGGTCATTTGAATTTACCTTCTTTTTTCGAAAATGAGACTATTGCAATTAAATTGAATGGTATTGATGTGAACAAGCAACGAAACCATCGTTCGTTTGAGGAAATGTTTCCGTACCGTCTTATCTCTCGAAGTGGTGATCACAATTGTCCACCAAAATCTTGGGTCTTAACATCTTGCGACTTCTTCCTTTGGAGCTACGTGATAGATGAGGTCAACGCCAACAGGTCAACGTTGATTCAATACCTCAATGATGGCATTCGTGAAGCTATTGATGTATGCCCTCAGCCACTTTGCGATTTGGTTATGAAAAAATTTCGTTAAAAGTATACGGTCCTTTAAAAGTAGCCGTGACTGTCATTTGGCGGATATTGTTCTCCATTATTCATGGAAGATCTTTCCACTCATTTTGAAATAAACAGCCCATCATGTATCTCAAAAACTGCCAATTTATTTGGAATACCTAAATAACAACTCTCATTGGAAAACCCAGTACTTTGCTTTCTATGGGCTTTCACTGAGCGTGAAAACAAAATTTTTGCCTTAATTGAAATAACATATAAATGCTTGCAATTATTAAGAATTAAAAAAAAAAAAATTTTTTTCTTCAAGTGTACTTACTTTTATTTCCTTAATGCCAAAATGCCAAACAGTTTAATTATTTTTTTTTTAATATATTTTTTTTACCATTTTATTGATTCTGTTTTCAAGATTTATTCATCAGTTGTTCTTTGCTCTTAATTATTATTATTAATTTTTTTTTTCATAATAACGCATAACATTTATTCATATAATAATTACCATTTGTTAATTTTATTTGGTTTTATAATTACTTTAACTGTATTGTATTAGTACTTTTGCTATGATTTTATATGTATATTTATGTGAATTTTTATTTATTTATTTTTGTTTTGTTTTTTTTTTTTTTGCACAAATTCATTTTTTTTATTTGCATTTATGTTTTATGTTTTTTTTTGGTTTTTAAATATACATACATACATTATTGTGTGTGTATTTGTATACTTATTCGGGCTCTTAATATAACATTTTGTTATTTGCAATTTTATTATTTAATTTAAGTATTTAAGTACTTGTTTTTTTAAATTTTGCATGCTTACACAATATTTACGCCATACAGTTTTCAAACCTTATGAAGGATTTTTAACTGCTACCAGTGACTTATTAAAATAAATTTAATAATCAAATTGAATTATTTTTTATTTTTGCTTTTCATGTTTTTTTTTCTTGCTAACTTACGTATTTATTTATAATTAATTTGTTACTGTTTTGTTCGCATTGAAATTTCAAATATTGATTTTCATGAATTCCATGTTGTAGAGATAAGTTTTTTGTTTCGTTTATTAAATTGTCAACATTTTTTCTCTATTCGAAATCAGTTAATGATTTTTCTGTTGTTATGCTTAATTCTGTTCGAATTTAGTTGTGTTTCTTATTATTTATTAATTATGCATACATCAAACAAATTATTTTAATTTAATTTTATTTTTTTATTTATATTGTTTTTTTTTGTAATTATTCTACGGTTTTTATATACAATACAAAGTGTTATTATAGCAGTTTTGTGTATTTTTTATATGTGATTTTATTCTTTCCATAACGAACATCAAGTCATAACAACATAGAGTTCAATTTATTGCTTGCATTTGCTTTTAATTGTAATGCAATTTATTGAAAACTTTGCTGTTATTTCATTCCTAACCTAACGATCTCTCGCAGTTTACGCACCGTTGTTTACCCTTGTTTTGTTGTACTTACTTTAAAGAGAAATTATTTATACTTTTTATGGCTTTGAAGCTTTACAGATTTACAGCTTTACAGCCTTACAGCTTTTTATAGTTTTTAATTCCATCCAATACTAAGGTTAAGGTACGCACTAAGCAATTTGAGCAGACATGAACATTAACACAACTTGTCTTGAGCTCTAACTTTAACGCATCAAACATGATTATGATTATTAAGCAAGCCATACATGTTGCGTCGACACGTTGTAGCAACTTGAGAAATTTGCACATAGAACGTATAAATATCAGCGAACTTATCCACCGACCGCTCAGCGACGGTTTAGAATAAATTTTGCGAAAAACACTATAACTTGATGGAGAAGCTTGTTCGCACATTGCTTCAGCATTTTCGAAGGTCGGCAGCAAATGTCTTTTGCTAAGTTACACTTAAATGAAATTCATCTAGCACTTGCTTGATCGCTTTCCCTTCAATAAGTTATAGCCAACTAAAACCGATCGAATTTTAAAAATCACTGCTTTCAAATCGCTGCAAAGTTTATCGCTAAATTCCGCTTTGCTTT